AGCTCAAGGCCGTTCACTAAGCCGATCCGATAGTCGCCATGTGCTCTCCTTCTTAGCGAGCATCCATCTGCAGATGTTTGCTCTATCTAAAAGATGGAAACACAGGAATATTTCAAGACTTTGGTCAGGACTGTCTGTTTTTATATCTGATTTGGCATGTGCACCAAATCCAGTATTCACAATGTGAAAATGGCTTATTTTACATCTGGAGAAACACAGCATGGTGCTCTCTGAGACAAAAGAGAGTGAAATTTTGCTTCGAGATCACTGTGAGTGGGAGGCAGCAGAGAGATGAGACACACTCTCCCAAACATTGTTCACAGCTCAAAACTGCTTCCTGGGACTAGTTCTGTACTTTGCTGTAGACTTTCAGACCTGATATTTGGGATCAATGGTGAGGTCACTGATGCAATGGATGAGTTAGCTGTGTCCATATTCAACACCCACCAACGCTGTAATTTCAGCCAGGTAAGGGCGAGTCAGGAGAGAGAGACTCCGGAGGCTGGAGAGCAGACACAAAGACACAAAGATAGAAATCAAAGCATTCAATTTCAAATGTGCAGCATTGTTCTGCTCTTTCCACTAAGGGTGTTTTTTTCCCTTAATACAGAAACACAGTTCTGTTGTGATCTTCTACTGAGATTGTAGGTATTTTGCTTTAAGCTGCCAGGTGATCCTGCTAGATGTGTGTGTTGTAGCCCAAGAAGAGCTCGTTCAGCCTGCTGGCTGTGCAGAGGGGAACGGGTGATGTTCCTGAAGAGGAGCCCCTGACAACGAGTCAATTAGACCTGACTGGGAGCTGTGATGGATCAGCAGCTACAGCACTTCACACCAGCTGCTCCAGCGCAGTTTACCTCCAGTCACTGATTGTGAAAATGCTGAATTAAAGACCTAAATTGACAAGCTTGGCATCCATTTATCCAAACTAGTATTTTTTAATAGCTGTTGTAACATCAGTGACTCACTGTGGAAACCACTAGTGGGGGCTTTGAGTAAATTGCTGATACTCCTAACATGCATACAGTATACCTAAACACCAAATTGTGCCCAAGATGTCTGGAACTTGCACAACAGTGTGTTTCATATCAATGATCAACAGAGATATGTGCTGCTCTGTTAAATCATGAGTTTCCAGCTACAGTAAAGGACACAAAATCTTGTTTTTCAGTTAAAAAAGTTATGAGAAGCTAGTGCATCTGTTTCCCAAAGCCTCGGTTTTCTGAGTTTATATATATTTAAAGCATTTAATTTTTCTTGCTTGTTCAGAATAAAAGTCTAGCTAAATAACAGAAATTACATCCATTCATTTCACATCAAATGAGAAAAATGGCCCATTTATACTGGAAGCTAATCAGAATCTAGAGGGTACACTGCAGCTTTTTTTTAAACTACTTCAACAACAAAGTGTTTTTTTTCCCCTTTAAAACATTTTTTAAACAAAACTAAAACTGTACATTACTGAAAAACTCTTCCTATAAGACGAGAGGAAAGGGAACTCTTGCCCAGCCAGGCTGCAGTTTAATAAAACCTACTGGAACCTGGGATCTACACAGAGACTTGGCTGCCATTCCTTGTCTACCACAGTGTTTTCTTTAAGCTTTTATTACTCTAAAACAGGAGGTTAATACAGGACATCCCACAATTAACTACTATACTTAGAGTTCACAGTTAATACACACTGTTACCTCTTAGATCCATCATTCTTGTCATTGTAGCACATTAAAAAAATAATTGAAGAAAAAATAAAGCTGAAATAGAAAGCTCTCCTAGACAAAGATCAATATATCAAAGCAGGCATTTGTAGAAAGGAGTGTAAAGCAAAGGTCAGATGTTTTGTGAGCAATATGTAATCCTTTCACCGTGGATTTCAGTCACAGTGTAATTGACTCATTAATTGCAACGTGCCCCTATGTGCTTATTGGGGAATACTTCTCTGGCTTCACTACAAGTTCCCCAGAGTCCGTCACCAAATATTTCTCCACTTCTCACGCCTGAATGAAAGATTGCAGTGCTTCTCCTGCGGCAGTCCCTTTCTCCCGCAGTGGCCAGACCCAGTTCTCAGCAGCCAAGAGCCAGCGATCATGCGATCCTAAAAGCATTACAGGTAGAGTCTGAGTAGACCCAACATAAGGAGCCAAGTAGCCAAGAAGTTAAGCTTTCGTGTTTCTACAGTCCTCCAGCTAACTTGGGAACAGAATTTTAAATAAAAATGTCTAATCAAGCAGTTTATTGAATCTATTAAGAGTTTGATAGGGTAATAGAGAGCACAGCTGCAATAAATAGCAGAAGACGTTGGCTTTGCTGTAGAAGTGTCCCATGGCTGTACCACACAGTACACACAGAGCACACTGAAGCAAAACACAGCCACATCAGTAACATTGTAGACTGGGGGCTGCAAGTGCTATTTCTGAATGGTTTGGAAAATGGTATACATAATGAGCAGGCCAAGAAGATGATCACTTACATGTGGAATACATTTACAAAACTATTATGAAGAAAGATATCTCATTAGCCGGAGCAGGAGCACAAATATTTTATCAGACAGACATGACCCAAGAAAATTAATTCTGGAGATTAACATTCGTCATCAACAGGGCTGATCTGATAGGAGGTGCACCATGAAGATCACAAGCTAGTACAGGGTGCGGCCGGTGCTGGAAGTCGTGGCACCTGGGCACAGACGTGTCTGTTTACCGGTCTCTGAACCCTAGAACACACAGGTCATCCCAGCTCCCTCGTGTGTGTTTGACGGGGCTCAAGCATGATAAGTAGAGCATCCGTGAGCTGGCTGTCACAATCTCATGTCACAGGAGGTGCTGTTACATGAACGTGCAGAAGTGTACCTCAGGACGAGCTCTCATGGAAAGGCAGCGATGTTGGTTCCTTCTTGTGATTCGCTTTCTCGATTTTGCACCAGGCTGGACATTCAACGGGATAAATCACCTCATCAGAAGAGACCTATCAACTCTTTCCCTGTTAAGATGATTTAGTGTGATAGGCAAAACCGCTGGAGTGCATCACACATTTAATCAATATCCCAAATAAAATCAGTATACTGTAATTTTCTAAAATCACTGACACCCATAGAGTAGCTTCCTTTGATGCTCAGCGTATGAAAAACCATTAATAGAATGACATTAATAAACGATCAGCCGTTACTGCAGATGAATTGCTTATTTTGTATCAAAACCCTTATCCTGACCAGGGCCTGAATCACACTCCTAGCACTGAGCTTGGGGTTATGTGCTTCATCTAGTTGATTAACACCTCGTTTATTATCCATTTAATCTGTGTAATTCTGTAGCTCCTCAGATGAAGTATGTGACAGTTAAAGCGTGGTCAAGCGTGCAGAGGTGAGAATTGTAAAACCTGATACAGTTCAAGGGGAAACCGCTGTGCTGCAGAACTAGGGAGAATAAGATCAGATCACTTTATTTGCCCTATACAATTTCTTGTATGAGGAATCTGTCTTTTCTCATACCCCAGCTTGCTCTCCATGAGACACACAGACAGGGAGAGAAGCTGGGGGTCAGAGGGCAGGGTCGGTCATTTATATGGTGCCCCTGGGGTAGTTGGGGTTAAGTAGGATTCCTCTGCTGACCGCGGGATTCAAACCGGCCACAGGCACAGATCCTGAGCCGCAGAGCCACCGCACCGCCCCGAGAATTGTCTCTGCAGAGGTTTTTCAAGAGTGGTGGTGTGAGGGCCACTGTCCAGATGCTCTGCAGCAGGCTGGTCCGGTCCCTGGCGAAACAACTGCCCCGCATGGGAGATAGAGACAATCGCAGGTGATGGGTGGGAGCAGTTGTGTGTTGTGCAGTATGAGCAACGGCAGCCACAGCATGGCTCGCGAAGATAAGCGCTCCCAGATAATGACCGCCAAAGCACGCTGCTGATTGACTGTCATCGTCTGAGAGATTTATAACAGGCTCGAAGCGCATATACTGTAACAGGTGGGACAGGCTGGCGATTAGTCCTTGCACTCAGCACACACGCACGACAGTTAGTGAGTGCCCGGCGCCGGCGTCTCCTATAAATCTAATGCAGGCCGTGGTGTAGATCGCTACCATTACTGCAGCAGAAGAATTTAAGAAGGGCTTTTTAACACTTTCACAGGCCTCCCCTACCCAGTCCACAGCAGTGTTGATAGAATTAAAAAAAAGGGCATTTTCATGCAGGGTCTCTGAAACTTAGTTTTGAGCATTGCAAGTTTTCAGTAAACTGAAGTACGAGTAAGCAACGTAAGTATATTAAGTAAGTGAGTGAGTATGTGAAGTAGGCAAATAAAGTAAGAAAAGTTTGTAAAGTTATTTAAGTAAGAATAGTAAGCAAGTAAAGTAAATAAGGAAGTAAAGAAAGTAGTTCAGGTGGGGAAACGCGTCAGCATGCGTAGGCTGCAAAGGAACAAGTAAAGGTTTATTCCTGCTGAAAAGAGAAGAAAGAAAACACAACTTTTTGGCTGTGGAGCCTTCTTCGGGTGTGAAGAAGAAGGTGAAGGCTCCACAGCTGAAACGTTGTGTTTTCTTTCTTCTCTTTTCAGCCTGGAATAAACCTTTACTTGTTCCTGTAAAGAAAGTATATAAAATAAGAAAAGTAAGTGAAGAAAGTAAGCAAGTGAGTGAAACAATTAAGTATATAAAGTAGGTAAACATATAAAGCAAGTGAAAAAGTATGTAAATTAAGTACATAAAGTAAGGAAAGGAAGTAATGAAAGGAAATATCCAAGTACAGTAAGTGAATGAGGAAAGTATACTAAGGAAGTGAAGAAAGTAAGTAGATCAAGTAACTATACAAAGTAAAGACGGCATAAATGTTATTTACCTGATTAAATTAGTCAATAAACATTAAAAACACCTGTTGTGTCCAGCTAAGAATTACCCAGCTTAGGTTGAAGTGGATAACAAGAAAGTTTTTTAGGTAATTCTTTCTGCACACTCTCATGTAGTTAGAGGAACGTTTTTTACTCGGAATTGCCAGTTATTTTTAAACACATAAACATACAATTTCACATTGTTCATTTATTGAAGTTTCAGCTTATAGCTTCCAGTCCAGGACCGCGTGGGAAGAATTGGGTTCTGCAGCTGTGCTCCTCTGACAAATTCGCTGGTCAGATGATTCATCTTCCGCCACACTGCGAGCGTCACGGAGCTGACAGGAGAGCAGGTCTCTCATTGACATCACTGCCAGCCTGCAAGTGCCCGATGAGTCATCGATGTCAGTGTTTGGCTTAAACCGCCAAGGCCCTGGTTAAGTCACCCTGTGAATTATATCAATCACAATCACAATTAAATGTAATTTGATTTTAGGCAAATTAAAATATAAGGATGACATTTTTGGCATCGTTTTGCTGAATGAACCATGACATCTCGACTAAGTGTGGTACACTTGAGTGCCTTGCCTAAAGTGATTGTTGCATAAATGTACTTATCACCTCTTTACTTGACCGAGTTTACGCACAGTCGATGAAGTGATTTAAGATGTCAAACCTGCTGAACTTCGAGACAAAAAGGACAAATAACAGGATGACAATGGGCCATGCCTCCGTGCCACGGGTCACCTCAGGAAGACTCACCAGCAGGGGAGCCAAGTACTCCTTAGTGATGAATCAGCAGTGCAGGAAGGACATTAGAGAGTTTGGCGCACTAGTGCGCACTAGTGCAGCATGATATACCAAGAGAGGTGCACATGGGGAACTCGTGTGCTGGTCTGGACAGGAGCGTCTGGTACCTGTAGAACTCCACTTGACGTGGCTGACGGCAATCTGACTACACAGCCCAGCTCTGAACAAGTCCTGGGACCTCCCATCGGCTTCTTCTGACACGATAACTTTCCAGCAGGATACAGGCGCATCCTCAGGCTGCTTGTACACAGGACAGAATCCTACAATCTACGGTACCAGCAGCACCACACACCACTAGCCTGTGAGTTTCACAGCAGATCTCCATTGGTTAACCCCTTCTAATGACATAGGTTAATCAGCTTGATTAAAATCTATTGCGTCGACTCGATCTGTTCAATAAAATGTCAATGCGCCCGTTACAAAAATATTTAACGTTGTGGTAACTGTGAATCTGTTGCAGTTAGAAGCGATAGGTCTGTTCTGATGCTCAGTATCTAAATTCATTTTACAATGTTTAAGAGTTTCAAAACAACTGTTAATTTCAGTGTTATGCAATGTAGAATTGAGTCTTCTTGCACATGCCGTCTCCCAGACCTTCTGGGTGAAATCCAGCTGCATAATGATGAGCTACAGCACCAAACCAGCATCTCCAGCAGTGCTGCTTCACACAGCCCTTTCAGCCCACTCAGCTGCAGAACTAAAGCACCACCCCCACACTGCGTTATCACGTTAATCCTATTAATCGCCAACTAATTAATGAAGGAGCTGGTTGGTGCAAAATGATCTTCATTCACTAGAAGGGAAGAGATTTGGGTTGAGTCTCCCCATGTATATAAAGTAATTTATCTGCAGAAGAGACCATCCGAAGTGACTTGTGTCATCAGTCACTTTGGTGTGAACTGTGGCTAAGTAAAAGCAAAATCAATGAGTTCCATACCTGCCCAGAATGCCATACATGTGAACAGGGGGCTGCAGAGCAGTCTGCTGCTGGAGTATAACACTCACATTCATTTAAAAAACTCATGTAAGCAGTCTGAATGCATGAATTGCATCTAAAATAGACTTTAGGCACAGGTGGCACAGTGTTGCGACAGCTCTTGAGTCCTGGGTCCGGTTGCAAGGGTTATCTTCAGATGCTCTGGTTTTCTCCTGTTTTCCTTTCTTCCCTGAGATGCTTTCAGTGTTGGTGCTATTTCAGCTTGTACCCTGTTCCTCTGGTCCAGTTTGCTGCAACACTTATCAGGAATAAGCAGCTTTCCGGAAATGAATAAATGGGTGGACTTTATTTCAGGCGCTTGTTAAATGGACACTGACAACAAAGAACTCTGGCACCATCTGGTGGACATTACAGAACAGTGTACTGTTAGAGCTTGTCCATTCACAGCCTTGGGGACTCAGAATTGCCACCATTTTTTCATCCCAACCATTCTGAATTGGGAGCCCCAGACTGTCACAAAGAACTCCCCAAGCTGTAGCTTGAAGGAACAGCTTCTCCAACACTCATTTTGAACTTATCCTCCTGTAAGCGTCACAATCTTGAAACCCGACTACCCTGTGCTGGGTACAGATGGGTCAGACGTCTTAAAGGACAAAGCAGCAATGAGCCTGGCTGTACTGAGGTGTCTAAACACTTGCAGTTCATGAAGAGGACTCAGTATAATGATAATACATTGATAAATTGATCAATTCAGTTTGTATCACGAAAGGTATTTTATAAAATATAGATTAATATTAGAAACCTTTTTGTTTCTGCTGTACACTACACATTTTATTTTGTCTGTGGAATACAAAATAAATGGTAAAGATAGATTGTGATCAGTTAATTAATATTTCATCAACTGTGAAGCTACTACCTTCACATTAGCTCTGAATGTGTCCTCAGGTTCTCAAAGTCCTTCCTTCCACTTCCTCACTCCTGCTCTTGGGGCAAATCCATCACACAAGCACTGCGTCTCTTCACCTAGGCTTCTATGTAGGACTGGAACATTACTATAGAAACCTAAGGGTTATCATTATAAGGGTAACAACGGTATTGACAGAGATCTGTAAATCATAAGCAACCAAAAAAGAAAATGTAATTTTAGCACAAACACAGACTTGTATTCACCTTGCGGAGAAGTGCTGGTGAACTATAAAGTGACTTATGCAGATATACACGTAAAAAAACGAGAATTTCACTCTCCAGATCGCGCGTAAAGACACTCGCAGGTGGGCAGCCTGCTGTCGTACAGTAAAAGCCGACCGGGGAGAAAAGAAAAATGGCCCCCACCTGTCGCAACACCTGCGAGCGCTCTCCGCCACTCTCACCTTCCCGCCGCGCGGCCGCCGCCAGTGGAGAGGAGCGCTCCAGACGGGTAATTGACTGCGGTTAAATCACCACCTGTTTCGAGCGAGAGCCAGCTGACTTCAACAGCGGCTGCCGCAGCACTGGGGCTCCCCCGCCCAGCGGGGACGCTGAACCGGAGCCATTCCTGGAGAAGAATCAGCTGTGACAGCAGGACGCCTGGCATCAATCACCAGCCCCCGTCGTGACCGCCGGGGCACGCGCATGACCATACGGCCATCCCATGTGTGGCACTTCTGGGCCAGTCGCCGCCACACCTCCCTCTGCAACTGTGGGCATTTATAAAACTCAAGGACGTGTCTTTTTACTGCTACCCTTCATGCGAAATCAGTGTTACGCCTGGTTTCCCACAAGGCTCTGAGTGTTGCCCCCACACCGGGAGAAGAGGAGGGGTCGCCTGTTGCCACAAGCTGCAGCGCTGGAGCTCCAGGACAGCAGTGCAGAGAGATGCCGAGTGGTCCCCTTGGTCTCCTCCAGCCATCTGTTGCAGCCCATGCCAGTCATGTCCAGGGACCCAGCCCTTGCTTCCTTGCCACAGGCCAAGCGTGTGCAAAGCCCTGCTTTTACAGAGAAGACACTGGATCGTTTTAGACCTGAAAGCTTCCAGAGAGCTAATGGGAGCTCAAAGGCGGCGAGATATTTGTGTGCCAGAGCAGAAGGATAGAAATTGGAGCTCCTTCTGAACTTCACACTTATTTGAGCAGGTTGGTCAACTTCGAATTGAGACATCGAGACGAGGGAACAGCAAGTCGGCGTAAGGAAATGGTAGCGACCCACCTGCCGATGCCCAGTGAGCAGCCGACGGGGGAGTGAGGAAGGAAGGGAGTGAAACGATTGAAGAGATCCTTTGGGCTCGCAGTGGAGTCGAGTTTGAAGTACAGAATATAAGCGTCCTGTTCCCCAGGGACGGATTTAAGGCTCAAACCTGAAAACAGCGGCTAAAGAGACGATCCTTGAGGGCAGTCAGGAGTCCGGCAGACTTGAGAGGGCTCCCGCTGGGGTCTATGTATAGACAATCAAGATAGCTGGATAACAACAAATAAGAAACCCCTGCATTCCAATTATTTATTCTTATTTCTACATGCAAGTTTTCCACAGAGTTGGAAACAAAATGGCGAGGTCAGTTTCATGCTGGACATGGTCAGTCTAAGTGAGGTTGTCCGCTAATTATTTATCACCCCTGACCTCAGCCTACCAGAGAGAAGGAGCACCCTGTGTCGGCAGGCGGCCCACAGCCCTGAACCTCTTTTCCAGACCAGCGCCTCTACCACCCACCCTGAAAGCGCACATGGGTGCCAAGCGACATGCACAGGGCAGGAAGCCCAGGCCTCCATCTCCTGCACCAGAGACCAGCGTCCATCTGCCTGCATACAGGCAGGAGCTCCAGTGGCGCTTCCAGATCCCGCCTGCAGGCGGTCCTACTGGGCTCCTGCTGGGCCAGACAAGTAAAGTGGGACAAGCACGGAATTAAGAGGAAGCAATGTTTTTTTCAAAGAGATCCCAGTTCTTAAGAACTAAAAAAAACAAAACATATTTGTATTTGCAAAACGAACACTAAAAAAGACATGTCAACAAAGAAGAGTTTTTGGAGCAGGTAGTCAAAAATCTGCTTGATTCTAAGGAAGAAAAAATGGCTGATTGAAACGTTGTGACTTATGAGCTGCGTGCAGTACAATGTCACTCGCAGTTTTTGAACATAAAAGACACTAAATCCCACTTTGAGGATTCAATGTTTCTGCTCTGAACCACTTGCAAAAAAGAAAAGAACAACGCTTCCCTTTGCTCAGAAGCGCAGTGCGTGAAAACAGCAGTCGTGCGTCAGACAGAAAACTATTTATCGGAAAATAAGTGCTTTGTCTGTCTAGTTCAACATAAAATATTATTATTCTTCCTGTGCTTCACCTGCAAATGCCAATATACTTTTCACCCAGTTAGGTTTTCCATGCCTTCAGGCTGGCGCTACGCATTAGGCTGCCACCACCCACAGATATCCAGGTGCCTCGATTTTACAGAAAGATGCTGGAAGATTGTTTATGAAGTGCGTTGTGGAAACTCTCACCCACCAACTAGATGCAATTAAGTGACAGAAATAAACGCACCACTAAAAATAATAATTTATAACATTTTCAGAAACATTACTAAGCTAGAATCCTGTAGTGCACAAAAAATAAAAATACTGATCAGAAAAGTGGTAACTGAGCTTTCTAAACTCAATGGACATGACCTGTAGCACCTGCGGCCTTGAGACTCCAGAGGAAAAGGGCTCTAGGAGGCTGAGGACACTCAGAGTAGACTGAAGGAGGTAATTCATCAGCTCATCGTGCTCCAGTCTCAACACTCTCAGGCCCTGCAATCACCTGGGACATATTCAGCAACCAGATGATGTCTTTGCACTTGGGAAAGTAGCAGGCTGCCTTACAGGAGACGGTGTGTGGAAATGACGGGCTGTGATTGTCATTTCAGGTGAAAGTTCCCAGCTTAAAAGCACACAGGTCACCTGAGGAGGAGGAGGAGAATGAAGAAGAAAGACGCCACATTGAGACGGCAGAGATATGGGCCAGGTGAACGTATCAGGTGAACAGAGTGGGATAGGATGTTTGAGAGAACATGGGTCAAAGGATATTGTTCTATTTCACAGTACGTAGGCCATCACAGTGGAAGCTTAAGACATTTCTCTCCTTTTCCTGCATGGCTTAGTAAAAAATAAGCTGGGAGCCGCTAGTAACCTCTAACAATAAAGCATCACTTAGGTTATGGTGCTTGCTTCTGCATTATTCATAGCTACTCCAAACAGAACTGATAAAATACATTTCCAAGTGTTGCTACAGTATAATATGAGATAACGTGCCCATTAGGCTAGAATATTGCAGGACTGTCACTTTTAAGAAAAGAATACAGTTAAGTATGCTTGAGTTACAAAGGCTTCCCTGCAAGTTATTACACTACACAGACACAAATGGAAAGATGGATTGATAAGTTTTTAACTCACAGCCAAGAGATTAGATATGTAAACTGTTTATATGACAAGGTATGAAACTGATCTTATCTATAAAACCGAGACACTATCACAGCATGGGAGCTAGCCGCATAAATGCAGTGAGACAATGAGCGACATCGCCCTACACCAGCCACAGCTGAGAAATGAAAGTTTTTAGCCTTGCTCTCTCACCAACAGATGGCAGTGCTGTTTCAAGCAAGAGAGACGATTTAACAAGTTGTAAAAATGCAAGCCCTACAGAGCTGTCGCTTAAACACACGCGCTTAAAACTGCCCATTCATCTCCGTCCATCCTTTTTTCATCCTGTCGAAGCATCATTCTTCCATGGCATTTTTCGCTCCAAAAGTATCTTCATCACTCTGCATGCACGTTTTCATTTGTTTCTATTTTATTGCCAAATCCAAACCCACTTGTGGCTTTCAGATCTGTTCTGCGTGAGTGTAGGCCGAGGAATCTTGCGAAGGAAATACCACGCCCAGATGCTCGGTTAGTGTCTTGATGTGGTTCAGAGCCTACCGCCATTTCCAACCTCTGCAGCGGATGAGGTTTTAGTCAGACATGCAGAACCCGGCCTTCTTGGAGTGGGTCCCCCAGAATCCTGCCTTGAGGAAAGCCCTGCGGAAACCTCACTGCCGGTTACCCCACAGGGCCTCCATCTGCCCCAGGCGGCGACCTGGACATCCATCCCTACGTCACGGCAGCATCCTGCTCGATTCCGCCAACGGCCAGCAAGGCTGCACAGAGGCAGGGCGGGGGAGTCCGGGCGCGTGCTCAGTATGGCCCCGCTCGCGGCTCTCCGTGGGTGTGAAAGCCCTATTCCCACCCCTGTTGTTTTTGTTTGGATGCACCGTGGAAAGCTGCCTATACGATTCCTCCCCAAGGCGGGAAATTACAGCGGCGAGGACAACGATCCGGCTCCAGTAATTTCAGCTTGGCAACCAGCCCCGCGGCTGGCAGGGACCTTTTACAGTTTTCATTCATGCATTACAAACAAAAGGAAAAAGAGGAGATGAGGCCGATTTCGGAAGGCAGGGCTGCTGAACTAAGGCTGTCTCGTCTGCGAGCCTCTGTCCCACCCCCAGCCTGCGGAGAAACATGACGAGCGCGCGCCTCATCAAGAGCATCCTGCTCCACATAGTTGTAAATTACTGCTTTGCGCTTCACTAACCAAACCAACCAGTCTTCAAAATGTTCCTGACGAAAGGAGGGACCGAAGAACAGCACGTCAAGTGCTCTGCTAGGCACTACCTTTCCTCCAGTTGACTTAAAGCCAGATCACACGGGGAAAACATGACACTGGATCGCGCTGTTCGCCGGGAGGCGGTTCGAATGCCAAGCCCCGTCTCCCAGAGCACGTGCCCTCCCCCTGCCTCCACGCTGTCGTGACAGGCGGAGCCCTGACGCGTTCCAGGCAAGAGAGCTTCCAAAGCACCTTGGCAACGACGCACGGCAACAAACAAATCAGCAGGCCTGCCAGGGGCCAAAAATAACCGGAGCTGAGCTGCAAAACAAAGCCAGCAAGTCTCTTCTCATCAACTTGGTTTGCCAATTTCTGTTTTGTTCTGCTCGGCTACTTCAGCGGTCACAAGCAGCCCTCGTAGGTGTCAGGGGGTTCATATTTCCCCTTCTAGATGAGGTTTGTGATTTTTTTCCAGCTCTTGGAAATGATGGGAATATGACACAAAGCTGTAAAGCCTGCTGACCTAGAACTACAGATGGTCCAGTAATTCTGATGGGGTGGGAGGGGTTGGGGATCTTCACTTTGCTGAGAACAGGTGGCAGCTCATTATTTCTGTGAGCATCCCTGACTAAGCCAGTCACACAAATCGCTTGCTCACATCATGAGTAATCATGACTCAGTCTGCCAGGAGAAACCAGGCCAAGTTCTGCCCCGAGTATCACGCCTCTCACACACCAGACTGAAAATATCGAAGGGAACCCTTGCCCACCTGCATGTCAGTCAACTGAGGGCAACATTAACATGGCTTAAAAAAAACATGCTTTTTTATAAACAATTTGAAATAATCACCTTGTGATTTTCACCTCCGCAATCAAAACAAATCAATTTAAAATCTCATCTTGGTAATGGCCAACATGCCTTAGAAGCTGTAGTTTGTCTTGTAAAAGGCACACAAGGGTGAGACAGCAGCAGTCTCCTTTTTATGATCTATACAGGGATGCAAAAATTAGGGATTTTTTAAGTAACAAATATTCCTCTCTACCCCTAAGCATCCTCCCTTCCACCCTGACCCCTGGAGTCAAGAAAAGGGAAGCGAACACCAGTGAGACTGAAAAATCTTTCGGAGACCTCGGATAGCTTCAGGCTCTTCAGGGAAGGACTGGAATGAGACGTGAGAGCCAGGAAGGAGGCACAAGCCAGTAACATCACAGAGAGCGGGAGCATCTTGTCGGCAACCGTGTCCGGATTGCGGAGCGGTGAAAGGAAAACGAGACCCCGCGCGTCTGAGGGGGCACAACTGGCACAGCTGAGCAAAGCGGTGTGCTTCCTTCTTGCGTTCAGGCTTTCAGGTACAACCCCCTCTTCAGAGGCCCCGCGAAGTCACTCCAACGCGATGACCGCCGAGAGGCACCCTTTCTTAATGCACTGACCGCTCTCTACACAGCACGTTGGGCTCTGAGTTCCTAGAGAAACTTTTTAATCTAAAAAAAAGTTAATAACATTAAGACTTCTGTTCACTGGTGTGACAATAAGAGTTATTTTTCCTAAGATTAACCTAGGTTTCATGTCTGCATCAGCTTCAACTACTTGGGAAAATTAGTCACAGCAAATGTCTGCCATATTTTGTCTCAACTGTAAAAAAAATTGGTTTAACATTGATAGGCAGCAGTAAGATCAATACCTCAGTCAATGAGTGATTTTCCACTCACTTGTAGGCACTTTTTTAAAAAGAAAACATATCTGCCTACTCAGCTCATCCTTGCACTTAAGCCCTTGTCCTTGGCCATCTGGGACAATGGAAAGATAAAAATCATATCTTTCCAATGCATTCACTCTCATCTCCGATTAGCACAGCGCGTCACATCCGAGGCAACTGGAAAACACTCCACCTTATCTGCTCTCTGACGCCTTCAGCAACGTCAGAACATGTCGCATTAAATGTAGAAAAACAAACGCTTTTTCTCTGCTTGCTCCTTGTCCCTGACCATTCACCACTCAAGAGGCAGTTACTGCGCACAGCTATCAAGTTTGCAATGCTTCACAAAAATCCATTGACTGCAGACCGTCTGATGCAAGTCCAATGGTATTTTTTCTAGCGAACTCAGTTTTAACCACAAATAATTAAAATCATTTTGAGGTGGTTGTAACATTAAGTGAAATAGTGAACGTGCACCAGAGAGGTCATCTTGTTCAATCTGGGAAGAGAATGCAAGATATAGGGGGCCCCTCAGCAGTCAAGGCAGAGTTTACCAACCTCCAACCAGAATGCTGAACAGTGCAGCTCACACAGCGATGGGAAAACAAGACATCTCATGGGCATCTCGGTCTTCCAAACCAGCTACTGCAGAAGACTCAGCCCTACATTCACAACCGGTGTCCTGGAGATTGTGTAATTTCAGGTCCATGAGTGCGCACACAAAAAAAATACCAGTTCCAATGCGATTGTTTGCTTTGATTTAAAACTTTATTTCAAGGGATTACTAAATGTACAAGCCGTCAAAAAAAAAAGTGATGTTCTCTCCCCTTGTCCCCGGCCCCTCAGCTCTTTCAGTCGGTGATGGAACTTGGCACAAACTACATGATAGACTAAATTCTGTCAACAGGAAGAGATTATAACAGACACTTAGGATGTGTTCAACCCCATAGTTGTTTTTTAAACCATTCTCTGCCTTCTTAAGAGCCCCCTTCAAACTTGTTAGGAAATCCACATGACCTCCTGAAAACAATGCAGAGATGCGCAATGCATCTTTCGCAACAAAGCTTAAAAATTAAAAGACTGCAATTTAAATAAAAAAACACCCCCCTTAGTATAAACACACCCAAAACAGAAAAATCAGTTTGAGAAATATAAAGCATGAGGAAAGAGGGGAAAAAAAACACAGGAGCAGAAACGGACTTTGTCTTCTTTCCTACGGTGCAGTTTTGCCAATAGAGATTTCCAAAAGGCAGTCAACTGCTACCGCACAGCAATGTTGGATTTACTTTGAAACATTTTATTAAAGGAGACTGGGTTTGAAAATGAATCCTAGGTAATTGTCACTTTACAAAATAAAAATGGCGCAATTTGTCTGCAACAACTACAGTAAATCTCAAATTCCTTGACGGGGAATAAAAAAAAAGACTGATGTATATTGCGCATCAATGTGCTAGGTCAAGCGCGCTAGTGGCCGCAGCTACTAGCATTAAGGCATACTGGCACGGGACAGGGATGAGGATAACCTGCGTTTCACCCCTTCATGCGAGAAGCGGCTTCAATTGCTTGTCACCCCCGTAAATGCGGTGCAGAGGCCCCATGGCGTCACCGCCTGCTCGCCAGGCAGCTTTCATGCAGACCAGCCAATAAGATCAAATCAACAGTCCTGTAGAAGCCGGGTAGGCCTGACCTACAACTCAATCTGGAACATCGCATCGCCCGTGCTCCCCACTGAAGCGGTGGGTGGGCAAATGATTTTTTGGATGCTGAAATAAGAATGACAGGCCAGGGGCCTAAGAGAACGTAATTTCTAGCTCAGTGTCTTAACTCGTGTTTCATATTTCAGTTAAAAAATGCCGCAAGAGAGCACCCCTTTGTAATTGCTCCACAGGCCAAGTGTCAAACAGATGCCGAGAATGAGCACATTCTTTACAGATAGAAGCCGTCGCCTCACAGTCAGAAATGAGAGAAACTAACAGCACTAGGACAACACAGAACAAGAAGATATCCAGACAGCTTCACTTATACTGCCGAACTTTCTTCCCAGGTTTCCTCCAGGACTAATTATTCCTAAAGTGCTGAATCATTTAGCCACAATGATTTAATCTACCCAGGCTTGGAAAAACAATTTAAAATAAGCTTGGCGAAATAATTGGTTGTCTGTTAATTAGCTGGTATGTGCCAACATGATCATGGTATACTAGCATGTGAAGACATGCAATTTGATTTTAAAACCATACAGCAAGTTGAAAGGATAAGTCCACTATATCTACCTTCCAGAAAGAAAAAACGCTTCCAAGTCCAAAATACTTTAAAAGAGGAGAAATTTCATTTTATTTAAAAACGTTAAAGGAAGCTTTTAAGAGATCTGGCTGGCTGGGAATCCTCCCACCCCTTCAACAATGAAATTATGGAAACACTAAGATACACAATGAGATGAGTGTTGCCATTAAATGTTTCTTGACACCTTACAGTGGTGTTGAAAGAAACGTTCTATAATCCAGCAGTGTGACTGGGGTGAGGCCTGTGTTTCTCCATGCAGGTGGCAGTACCTTTACTGGCAGATTGTCATCTAGTTGACAATAAAAAAAAAATGACAGGAAGCTCTTGGGACAGTAAAAGGGCAGGAAGAAGCTTTTCTAAAGCAATGCCTTCACCCTCGTTAACAGAGCACTTTCAGACTAGGGCACAGAGAAACCGCACTGCCCATTCTCTGCCAGCAGGGGCACAGACAGAGGGGTGGCCGAGAGGGAGAAAAGGCAGAGGGAGGGAGGCAGCTTTAACAATAGTGATTCTAGAATTTAAATAAAAACTCTAAAGGATGATTAAGAAACAACGATTTCTGCTTTATTATAAAATCTCATTTGACCTCCTCCCTCACCCCCCCCCCCAAGAAAAAAAAATCATAATTACTGCATTCAACCGGAACCTTTTGGACACTGTGCAAAAGTTTACTGAACTAAAAACATTGCTGAGGTTTCCAAAGAGTGATCTCTGCACCCCTCCGCTCCCTGGCCCCAAGAAGATCCAATCCACCCCTCCAAAATACAGAAACTGATTTTTGTTTTTAGGGTAGACAGAACAATCCAAAAGGGACACAATCCATCACCTATCAAGTTCCAACCAACCACGATACAAAAAACAACATGGAATCCTTCACCACAATTATGAAGCTAAAATATAGAGACATTTATCCTTTGTTAAAAACACGCTCCACCAAGCAGACTGACCACGTAGTTCCATGCTGCAGGAGGCTCATGACTGCGAGGGCATTTTTTTCTTAATTTTCTCAATTCAATTTTCTAATCATCATCATCATCATCATTAACTCCCCCCACCCACTTTCTATCTACTGAATGCAGCAGTTGTGACCGTTTGCGTCCTTGAATTTCAGGCGCATCTTGGGTCGGTATTTTTCGAGGTAAAGCAGCTGTTTGGAGTTGAAGGCTCCACGTCTCTTCCTGAAAGGCAAGCAGGGGAAAAATGTTTCGATTATAGGTGCACTAAGACCGTGTCCAGACGCAACACCTTGTCCTGTCTTTAGGACAACAGGAATTTGAAAACGTACGGTTTCACGCTTTGAACTTGGCCCCTAATGAAGCCCCTGTAACACTCGTTTGATCACCCGCCTACACACGTGCTCATACAAACGTCCTGCTGCCCCATGAAGCATTTTCAGGACAAAGATAACTGATAAGACCCAGCCATTTTTTGCATGAATGAAATGCATGTGCTAACCCAGCTGATGCTCGATTGCATGAAAACTGTTTTGAAATTGAAATTGCTTGCTCTCTCTTAGTCAAGGTCACTGTTTTACAGCAAGGGGTCAGTAGTAAAGAGCACAATTTATAAACTAGTTTGAGCTGCCTGAAGTGCAACAAATACAAGATTCAAGGCAGCAGCGGCAGCATGGGGGAGCGGTCAGGCCTCTGGATTCCAGGCTTAAGGGTAGCAGGTTCAAATCCAGGCAGGACACTGCACTCAGTGTTATTTGGTAAAGTCTCAGCTCTATAAATGGGTCCCCAGAATCAATAAATGAAAATTTGTTCTCAATGGACTTGCTTGGTAAAAAATAGTAGCGAAGCCACTCCAAATTAACCATGATTTTACACACACTAAACAGAACCACAATTGTAAATAGGCTAAGAGATCCTTAGTCAGCTCCATGGCAGCAGATTTGTGATGCGGTGCTGTTTAAGATGATTCTGCTTATATGATGAAGGAAAAAAATAAGAGGGGTCTTGTAATAACTGGGATTATTATGCAAATATTAAAAAAGCTACAGCGAGAAACATGTTGACAAGCTTACAGGGTAGCAAAGAAAACCACAACCTGAAACAAAGAAAAGTTTGAAATGTTTTGGATGAGTGAAGTCCTTCAAATTTAAAGATTCCAGTCCATGAAAGAGGAGGAGTTTCAGAGTAAATTCACTTGGAGCTAATTCTTAGCAAGAAAGAATTCCAATCCTTAAAGAATACATAAAAACAAAATTCCATTTTAGTCCTACACTAACTTCTGTATGAGTCTGGAACAAATATGTACTGGAACTAGTTTTAACACGTCTTTCAGCGGTACTTCTTAAGGGATCTGACAGTTCCATAGGTAGTTTTTGTCGACTAGCCTCAGCCTAGAAATCTTCAGTCTGGACAAAATCTATAGCATTGTATAACCCAGTAATTCATATTACAATCACTCTCCTTCACCTGCAACTGGCTCTAGTGTCTTAAAATACACCCACTGCATTCCCTCCCACAATACAAGGACCAACATAACTTACTGTCGTATAAACTGGACCGCATCCTCATACTTCATTCCACATTCAATTAAGGCTAAGGCCACCAGGACAGGTGCTCTGAAAGACAGGGAGCTGCATTTGAGCGCTGGGGAATCAGAAGTCGGCAACAACAGCAAATGAGAACAGAACCTCTCTGCAAAAGGTCACCGAGGGTCCTGACAAGCTCAAGATGCTTCATGACATATCCGCCAAGGAAATGAAGCACTGGACCCCTCCAAATCATCGTAAACGCTGACTGAAAAAAGAAAATGGCAGTGCAGTAGGCAATTTGGAAATAGTGGAGTATAATAAGTTCATCTAAAGACCAGCCTTCAGGAGAACAAAAAAAATCAACCTGTCGAAGGAAGTGGTTACGAAAAACAGACTGGTATCTGTTTTAGATTAACACTTAATCGGAAGTTCCAAACATTACAAACTGTTTTGACATGAAAAGCCAATGTCATACTAGGGATTGGCCATGAACAATCTAGTTTTTAGCTTTCAACTTCAAAAACATTTTACTACCCAAAAGCTACAACAACAATGCAATGCTCACATATTCGCACAATCTGCCAATAACCATTTACAGTAGTTGGCCAGACCCATCCTGTTTGATAAAAAAAAACTCTTTGATACCCAAGTTGCAGAAACAGGGTCATAAAATATTCACCAGCCCATAAATGCCGACAGCAAAATGCTACTCTAAGGCAGCTTGGTAAGGCAATAAACTTAATTCCTGGAAAAAGAACGATTGCCCAAGTCACATATTTCGGGAAGAAGAGTCCATTCGTTAAAAATCTTTTAATACCACAGTACCTACATAAACATATAAAGTCAATAAACCCATCACTTGTCACTCTGCTCTACCGGTATCATATCACCACACTTCTGCTGAATTCATGCAGTGCTGTGAAGAAAAAAACATATATGCAACCAGACTAGAACTGCCCTTCCTCTTCAGACTCGGCTCCTGTGTGGTCTAGCAACATCTCGTTTCTTCCACCCACATTTTCAATTACACTGCTGGTCTTCATAGCTGCATAAGTGTAACACTTTAGGTAACTGTACCATTAATGAAGTCAATGCGTCATGCAATTAATTTAAAAAAAGCCTTATGGAAAACTCTATACCTGACTAATGAAAGAAAAATAATTAGCTGAACTGAACGCCGGTTGGAACAAAACCCAGAAGATAAGGCCGTCCAGGAATGGTGTTTGAGAGGCCAGCGGCGGCGTACAGCAGAGAAAGGAAATGTGTGGTTAAGAACAGTAAGAAACCTCCTGAAACACTGGGCTTCTGCCACCTGCTGTCAGGTCCGGCAATGTATCCCTGCAAAACACACCCCTCCCCCACAACAGGGCCCGGGCATGCTTGATTCACTAAACAGGAAAACAAAAGTCATGGGATTTAGTTTAAGCAAAAGAGGAAAAAAATAAAAACAAAAAACCATTAAAGTCAGGCTCTCCTGCACAGTAATTTGGTTTTTCTCGTTGTCTCTACACTGGTATTTAAGTGGCTTTTTCAGGCCTAACCAATGTTATACTTGGAATGTGGTTATTTTGCAATTTTTCTCCCAAGTCGCAGAAGACTAAAATTACCCTATCATTTTCATTTGACTATGTCTTTCCTAATGGCTCTGGGTGCCAGATCACAGCGGCTCAGCCTCCTTCGGTCAGGGCAGGACCCAGGAGGGAGATTCTTGAGGTTGTGTGTGGGCTGGATCCTCCGAGTGACAAACAGAGTGAAAATGCAGACTTCACCCACATGGCTTTCACACTTGTCATTTTCCTTTGTTCACATAATTGGTGGACGAATTAAAACATTCGAAGAACAATAAATGCTTCTAGTTAAAAAAAATTGTGGCAAATCCAGATTCCAAATGCCTCACTCACAAGTAACTAGAAACTGTACAATGTTTATTTCAAGGGAAAAAAAAAAAACTTATTGGCAATGAAACAAATGAATACTTGTAGCAGTTCACTACAAATGTTTAAGTGCCGCTGACAGCATACATACTATACGGTACAATACAGGAAAATGACACTTGTGATTTCTATTTCATTTTAAAGTCTTCAGAACTGTTTAAATGCACCTATAAAGCTGAAAAATAATGGCAAGAAACTTTGTCCTGAAAAATGTATATATGGATATTAAGAGACCTTAAAATCCATTCCAATCAACCTACATACTTGACCACAAGGGTGTTTATTCATCTCTGCTACAGAATGCCCAGTGAAGTAAAAATTTTGTAATTTTGTACCTTGTTTCAGTGCCAATAAGTATTTTAACAGAATTCTGGATCATGCTTAAGACAATAGGAAAGGTCTTCCAGTTAGGTATTGATACAGAACAGTTCAGGAGCAGGAGTATTGCTGACCTCTTGGCCATGAAGACTGTTCTTTAGCCTGCAACAGCATTACAAAAAAAAGAGCTGTACAATTTTGCAATTTTAAGTGTAGATAAGCTTACAAAGAAAACTCATTTGTTCAATGGCAGTCATATTATATGTTCAGGTGGGGAGCTGCGTCAGCATGCATAGGCTGCAAAGGAACAAGTAACGGGTTTATTCCTGCTGAAAAAAAGAGGAAAGAAAACAACGTTTCGGCCGTGGAGCCTTCTTCAGGTGTGGCCGTGGCTCCACGGCCGAAACGTTGTGTTCTCTTTCTTCTTTTTTTCAGCATGGAATAAACCCATTACTTGTTCCATATTATATATGTGAACAGAACATGACTTTTATTCACAAGTCTACAAAAATGCTTATGTAAACTAAAAATCTGCAAGAAACAGCTACTTCTTTTACCCATCTTTGAAATGATCTGCATGGCAATGTCTTCTCAGCGGCCGACTGCTATAAGCCTCTTAAAGGAAGAGCGCAGACTAGCTCCCTGTAGGCCAGGCTGCCTGGCAGGAGAGTGACGTCAGAAGGGCGACTCCCCCCGTCACACCAATGGAAGCCACCTAGTCTTCACACATCCATCCTCGGCAAGTCCAGGTCTGTGCTGCCCACTCACCGGCCCAACCCAGCCACGCAGTGCACCGCGATGCAGCACCCTGGCTCCTCCCGGAACTTTGTTTTCAACAGATTCAGCCAATCATCGACGATCTGGCTGGGGGGAGGGGCTCCGTCGTCGAAGGGCCAGTCCTGAAAGAGGGAAGAGGAGGACAGCTCTTACTTGCCAGCTCAAACCTGAGCCACGGTTTTAAGGCATTGCCAACGTGCAGCAGAGCAGCCTGAAATCAGAAGACTCGAGACTACGGCGCGGGGTCGCCACTGAACGTTGCCAGCATTTGTAAACGGAGCACACAGACAACCGGTTCGCCACAGGACAACCGGAAACCTTTGATCACTGCGCCATTTCAAAACAGTTTTCCTGGCTTCACATCCCTCTGAGATAAGCCTAAAGTTGTTAGAGACAGCAATCGATTGGAGTCAGACTTTGGAACAGCAGTGCTCAAGGATGCATGCAAATACTAAGCTAAATACCATTTGAAGAGTTTTTATTGAAGCACAGAAAGTGAATTTGTCCCATGAAATGAATTCAAACAACATTCAAGCTTATACATTCCTCATGTGGCAGAGCTTAACTTCCACTGAAATTCAAACTGTTTTTCTTCAGAATGTGATAAGGGCAAAGAGCCACAGATACTTGGGAGTACCCCCCAGAAACCAATGCCATCTCCAGGAAAATTGCAACACCGCAACTAAGCAATAGAAGTTAGTGAGAGTCCTGAAGGAGAAGGCCGTGCCTGCACCCAGGGGAGTGACATACAGATGACATCTCCTGTCTGGGGCATGGAGTGAGGAGGTACCTTTCTACACTTGGGGGGTTTCAAAGCTATGACCTGGGGTGGGGCATCATCCCTGAAGACTGGCCTGTGTCTGCTTGTGTTTTAGGACTGCTCAAACACACAGATCTCCACGTGGAAGTGGCCCAAGTCCAGCCAATCGGGATTCCCACACAACGCTGGACTTGGATGCTGTATTCCTGTGGATCCCGCTGTCCACGGGAATACACCTCGCACTCCCGCGGACTTGCACGAATGGAACGCGTGCAGCTATATACTGACCATATTTGGGAAAGAGGAAAAAAATAACTAATGAACGTAACTTATGTCCAAACATTGTGAGCTTTTCCTAATTTTCATTAAAAAACAAATGTAACTATTACCACACGTCACATCAAACATTAAAATATTTTAACAGATGACTGCAGAAGACTGCAGAGGGTATAAGTCACGTCAGTGTTCATCTGACAAAGGGCAAAGCTCTGCTTCCCGAAGAGCGGGGAGAAAAGCCTGCTCTCGGTGACATCCAGTTCCTTCTGCTGCTGAAAGGCCTGGACTCCAGCTGAGCCGTGGATGAGCCTTTCTTCCCACACAGTGCCTGCCTGCCCTCTGGACAGAGCTTCTCCACTCACGTCCGCAGACCGCAGAGAAAGCAGAATGGACACCTGATGCTCTGCTGGAACCTCCCAGACTGCTCCAGCCCACACGCACAGTCCCCAAACCCCTCACCACCAACACCTGCGTTCACACTGCGCTTCTTAGATGTCAGATTGAAAAAGGAGGATAAAATATGAAGTGCGATTTTGCAGTTCAAAACCACTGCAACTATGTAGTCTATAGGCTTTAAATCTGTACATACTCCACAACAGCAGCACATTAAAAAACCCATCTGGCCCCCTGCTGTTTATGACAGGACCACATGCCCGCCTCCCTCACACCCAGGAAACACGGGTATTTCTCGGCAGAAACCCAAACTGTGATGATGATACAAGGAAAGCATTCAAACACTGAACTAGGTTTATCTATACCCGATGAAGTGGTAAAATTCCAGAATGGTGCATAGACTCCAAAGTCATTGACCAAAGCAAAGCGTTGACTTGTGGGAAGACAGCCATGCTTTGTTCTCAGCTTTCATAACCCTTTTCTTTTAGCCACAGTCATACCGCTAAATGAATGTCGCAGAGGTTCCTCTGCATTACACGAATCCAAACTCGACTCGTAGCAGAAAACCTTGACCAAGGCATTCTGTACGAATGTTTCAAAGAAGGACAAAGAAAAGGGGTCTGTGAAAGTCTGATGCATTGACTGGGAGAACGCCTACAGATATCTAGAGCACCTCAGACACCTCAGGTTCGCCAGCCAGAGAGATTCACTCAGCCCCCTGCTCTGATTCACTCCGGTTCCTGGACAAAGACTACCTCAGTCCCTTTCAGTAAGGGAGGATCAGATTCACTGCAGGCACATGGTGGGGGTGGGGGGTGGGCTGGGCTAATGGGGGTTCAGGTCTTGCCTGACCCAGTTACTGAAATGGTTGAATCACTTCAACTTGGTAAGAATCGACTTCCCTGCTCCACGAACAAGGGGAGACGATCTGGAAAAGATTCAGACAAGGAGAGACAGCAGAAGCTGCTGATGTTCAGCTGACAAAGGCAAAAAAAAAAACAACCTTTAAGACTACCTACAGCTGTGTTTTTGAAAAAAAACACCTAAAGCCAATACAAAGAACCTTTCTAAATTTAAGCACTACAAGATGTAACAGAAAAAGGCTTCTCAATTTACCTCTGCTGGCATCAAGTCCTTTACTTTCAGAAATTCACTTGCACTGCTGCAGCCTTCTTTTAATGTACAGCCCTCAGCTCAACACCAGGGGGAGCACACAGAAACCCACTGTGTTCCACGACCCCCGTAAAACCTTTGTGGCCTGAATTTTATGTTTTCATGAAAACAAGTGTTTGTATTCTTGTATCAGACACAAAAATAACATTGCTAAATAACTCATTCATTCCTAATACTACAACAATATGTAAAGGCAGAGGGACTTGGAATCTGGGCTTCTAGCCTGGTGGAACTTGCGAGTCCATCGAGTTTCTCTGATGGGACTTAAGACAGGTCAAAAGGGCTTTTCTGTCAGGGGAGGCTGGTTGTCTTCCACCCTGCACTGCTGTGGATTGCTTAACATCCAGACTTCATCCACCTGTATAAAGATTAATTTGCAAGACCTTAATGGAAATGTTATACATTCCCCTAATGAGTACACGAAACTGAGCATCCATACACACACCAATGAACATGCTTAGGATGTGCTGTACATAGCAATATGCAAATTTTAACCACTTTACCCGATGAGGATCAATTAAATTCTTATGATTATGAATACCAAAAACAGATCATGTGTGTTTTGTTCTATAATATTTAAAAAGTTAGTCATAGGAAAGAGAAAGTACACCCTCTTTCAATTCAATGGTTTTATATATCAGGGCATAAATAATCGTCTGGTCCTCACTAAGCTGAACTCGAGCTCCAAGCAGATTAGTAAAAGGGCATCCTCCTCGCAAACAATGGTCACAAAACTGTTATACTTAAAAGTTTTTTTTTTAAAGGCAAATCACACGATCTGGTCATGGAGAAACAACAGGCATGCAAAGTGAAAAAGTGGGGCTCATGTCAAGTGGAAGAGATCAGAGGTGGATTTAGAATCACAGATTTCATTTTTATTTTCAAAGCATTAACATCGACTTGTCACCTAGTAATAAAGCACAGGCACTATTGCTTTTTATATATATTTTTAGATTAATCCTTGCTGGGCTCACGGTAAGCACTCTTGGAAAATGGTCAGGAGTCTTTGCTAATCCTCTAGACCTCAGCCGTGCACATAAACAATTTAATACCAAAGATGAAAGACTATCATTACATTAGCAGCTGCTCAAATATCTTTTTCCCATAATCACTCAGCGCAAGAGAGGGGCAGGTGAAAACATGAGTTACTGTAAAATCTGATGGAAAATTGATTTGAGTGGAGCTGTTCTTTGGACAGAGGACAGGGTTGTAAGTGGAGAAAGATGATCAATGGGAGAGATGGAGATTAACACCAAGGAACAGTGACCTGGAAGACCGGACGAGAAGAAAGGCACCAAGTGTTTAATTTAGCGTACAGACTCGGCCACGTCTTCGTGACAGAAATAAAACAGCTGCAGCTTCCAACTAGATGTTAATGTCGTCAAATTATGAGAACACAGAGAGAGACTATTTCTAAAGCCATGAACAGTCTTGAAACAACATGAGTCACACTAAACAACATGGGCCGAGGTTAAATCTGAAGTCTCATTTACCTTCCAATCACATGTGACATGGCTGATACTGGTGGGTATATCAGCAGTTTGATTTAATCCCAGCTAATGCAACATCAAACCAAGGTGTACTGTGCACAAGCAGACTGGCAAGGAGGGATTTTTGCGTGTGTACCCAGCGGGGAGTAGGCCATTACTTTGTTCTATCTTTTCGTCATTGCTGTCCAGTTTGGGGTGGATTCAGCTTTAGCTATTCCCCAGCTTCAGTGAAGACCGGAAGACAGAAGGCAGATCCTAGCTTCTGTAATGTTGAGCACACGTAATGCTGGCTGCACACATCCCGGCTCTCCTGAAAGGCGAGTCTAGGTCACTCACCATCGGAAGACAAAAGCTAAATGCAACATCTAAAAATACACACCTAACATGCTTTGGAAACAGCATAATGTCTGAGACGCCATCAGCCTCCTACTCCACTGGGCCCTTTCAAGAAAGAGCCTAAGGAAGCCTTTCATGTTCCTCAGTGCGACGTGTCCTAATCCAAACTGGAGTAACCCAGGTACTCCTCCCCACACAGTCACAGAACACCGGGCACAGCCCGGCCAGCAAAGTCCCAACTTATATTTAGCACAGACAGCTGCATCAGGATCTGGGAATCGGCTTTGAGGAGACCGGCAGGCCATGGATTACTCCCCATTGGAGACGAGGAGTCCCGAAAACTGCAGGCGTCAGGCAGGGCTGTCAGCTGCAACTTTGCTGGAGGTTAGCTAAAGCAAAGGCATCCGTGAACAAGAGGAACAGAGGACCCTTTGTCTGCTGTCAGCCTCATATTCTGCATGATAGTTCCTGGACAGATGACGGGAATTCCCCTGTTAACACCATCTAAGACAGCAGCTAAAATACCCTGAATCACATATTTATAAATGTGTCCCCTAACCAACGTGGGAGAAACTCAAATCAGCCAGAAGTTAAACTCGCTAGGGGTCTGTTCATCTTTTGAATGGTTAGTAAGGGACAAGGTACTGTACCTTGCCAGCATTTCAGTATACTTTCCACAATTACCAAAAGCCCCTCCTGCAAACAGCTCTAGAGTCCTTATACAAACAGCACCCATGCCCTCTCATACGCACTGCTGTACATGCTTAACGAACACCCAATATTCCGGCAGATGAAAAGAATTGCCACAAACCATAAACGCAGAGGAATGTTAAAAATCTGATGCTGCAACAGAAGCAGAACACTTCCGTCAAGGTGCTGACTTCACAAAATTGCTGCAGTCCAGAGTGAGTGGTCACTGCCACAGTTCCTCAAATTCACCCTAAATCGGTTCTGTGAAAAAAAGTCTTTCTGGCTTCATTTCTTTTACCGTAAAAGAAGATAAAATTAGCTATGTTAAAGCAGCTTACAGTATTTCACGTGGCTTAAAAACCGCTATTTTGCACAAAAGGATCAGCATAGTATCAGCTAGCAGAGCTCTGCACAGTGCAACAGGTCTCCAGAGCAATCTTGACTTGTGGAAGAGCAATGTTACGGCAGTAGTTTCCTGTATGAAAGTCTAATGAACAAAACCCCAGACTGAGGCAGTTGCATGTTAAGCATAGTGTGATCGAGGTATACCGCAAACTTATCTGGTCACTGCCTTCTCGCATAGATGCCAAGGCGCAAAATAAATATGCGTATGCAAAAAAAAGAGTGCTGACCACTCTGAAGGTCCATCTGTATTACATTAGAAAGTTCATCTGAGCAGTTCATGAACGGAAACTTCAGAATCACATGGCAATGAGCAACAGAAAGGTCTCTTACCAAGACTTGAATCCCTTCCTTCTCCACTGGCGCTTTGTCGTAAGTGGCATCGCAGACGCGGACCAGCGTGTGGACTCCGTACTTCTTTAGCTCCTGAGAAGCCGAGAAAGCAGAGAACCAGTCATCACAGCTTTGTGAGAAACCATTCTCAGAAACGCCATCATGAGACCACACGAAAGGGGTGACAGGCTGCCAGACCGCTGAATGCAACAAGGGCCTGACCGACCAAATAAGGAGACTTTCATCTTTTGCAGTCGCGCACAAAATAAGGATCTGCAAGGGATATGGGACTCAACCGAAATCCTAGACATTGCAGAGTTGGGCAAAAGCCATTTTGCAACTGGTCACAAAGTACTTGGCATAGCATGGAAGAGCAATGAATATCACAATTCTTGATCTTAAACCTTAGACATGTTTCAAGAAAACCACTATCTTGAAAGTCAGGTCTTAAATAACCACTAAGGCAGTGAACATCACGCCACAAAAGCTGCTTTATAAACTCTATATACACTATGTACTGTATATTTGCCAGCAGCTGAAGCTGAAGCTCAGCAGGTCTGAGCCCGCCCAGTACCTGGATGGGAGACCTGGGAAAAACAGGCTGTCGCTGGAAGAGGTGTTAGTGGGGCCATTAGGGGGTGCTCACCCTGCGGTCGATGTGGGCCCTAAAGCCCCAATATAGTGACAGGGACACCATATAGAATGCTATTACTTATATACACTAATATATAAAAAGCTGTCCTTCGGATGAGATGTAAAACCGAGGTCCTGGCCTCTCTGTGGTCATTAAAAATCCCAGGGCATTTCTTGAAAAGAGCAGGGGTGTTACCCCAGCACCCTGGCCAAATGTCCCCCTGGCCTTTACCAGTCATGACTTTCTAATCCCCATCTCTGAACTGGTTTCTTCTGTTCTCCCCCCTGAGAGCTGGTGTGTGAGAGCGTACTGGTGTACTATGGTTGCCGTTGCATCATCCAGGTGGGGCTGCACACTGGTGGTGCTGGAGGGGATCCCCATTACCTGTAAAGCGCTTTGAGTGGAGTGTCCAAAACAGTGCTTTAAAAGTGTAAGGAATAATTATAATGGACCTCAAGACCTCAAAAGAAAAATGTGGGGGTATCTTACAACAGTGAGGATGAAAAAAGTCACATCCAAGGTGTACATAAAACACTGACTCATGGCTCTCAAATTTAGGACACCTCAACCATTAAGTCTGAATATGACTTGATAACAGTGCACTGGGACTTACCTCTGTGAACTTGTTCAGAGTGGTGTTGGTGGGATTGTGGGTTATTAGAAACCTCATGCTTTCATAGGTGATCTCGACGGGGGCAGGACGGTTCATGTTGGCAAGTAAAGAAAAGACTACGCCAAAAAAAGGTCTAAAAAATTGCAATTAAATTTTAAAAAAAAGTGGACTTTGGCTCAGATGTCAGCGAGGACTTTTTTTCTTTACCGGCAAATGTGCCAAGTAGAAATATATATATAAAAATTAAATTACAAAACTTAAATAAGGGGGGGGGTAACAGGATGTGGAGAGAGGAAACAGGGGGAGGGCAATAAGGGGTGTCAAGTCCACAATGCCCCCGAAAAAGAAAAGGGGGGGAGGGACTATCCTTCAGTCATCCAATCAGACAATTGCAACAGATTACCCCATTCAGGAGAGGTGGTCTGATTGGAGGTTTAGAGAGAGGGGGTGGAGTCAGAAGACAGTTCAGCCTGTGACGGTACAGGGCGTGAGCCAACGACTACGAAGGTCCCCCCAGGGCTGGTAACAGCAGCAGTTTAGTCCCAGATTGCTGGCGTCCAAGGGCGTCTACGGGGGCTTCCGGGCGGCGTAGTCTCGGCAAGGACAACCGACGGTTCACTTGTCCGCGAAGGCGAGGTGCTGTGCCTGGCAGAAGTCTCCGCTGACGCTCAGAAACGCCATAAATGTGCGGACCAAATCAACACAGAAACACTGCAGAAAAACAGAGATGGGGGAGAGGGCAGGTCAGGTAGTGCAACGCAGTCACACGCTTCAAGAACTGGGATTTTTCAGAGAGTCAGCCGTGTTTCTTAAAAAAAATCCTAAAATCTTCCGTACTACCTTGAGGTTTCGCAAGCAGGAGCTCGCTTCAAGACGGGAGCAGATTTACTAATTAACCTGTGGTCCCCTTGCATCACTCGAGTCAGCTTCGAAGTGCCTACTGTCCCATGACACACCAGCCTGGTCCCTTGCAGCAGGTAAACCTATAGCACCAAACATTTCTGGAGTACACTGAAACTCAATACTCCCGAGGTGTGACTAAAACAGAACACTACAAGTCCTCCACTAGGCGCCTTCTCACCAAAGCATGCCTGTGTCCTTTCACTTGTCACCACAATGCTCTTGAACAGGAGACACCGGGGGCTGGAATCCATTTTGACTGTTTGAAAAGTATACTAGTCAGCACTGCAAGCAAAGGCTTACAAAACTCCATTCAAGCAATAATAATAAGGGCCTCCCTGGTCATGTGAACAAACAAATAAAGTTTGTTTTCACTGGTGTAAAAACTGAAAAGTTTCTCCTCTCACTTTTTGAAATCCTCACGAACACCACGCACTGAACAGGCCAAGTTGTTTTGCTCAGAGAGGAGGTTCTGTTAGAATGCATCCTGGCTCCGGAAGCCTGCTGGGACCAAAACTCTCTAAAACTGCATCAGTGTGGAAACTGGTCACAAGGGTGCAGATTACACAGAGGCAAGACTTCAAAGAGCCCTGGCCCTTATGTTCAAAAGCACGTCTGCAGTGGCAGAAGCCCAACAAGAACCTGCACTTCAGTTCCAGTTGTGCTTTGGATGAGATCCAATGCACAGCTTTAAAAGTAGCGGCTATTTTAAGACCTGACTAATTACTAACCAATCAATTAAAAACGGAATTCACGGGATCGACAAAAATAGGGCCAACATGGCAGCACTACTTTAGAACTGCTTAAAGAGCTGTCTGGAAAGCAAAGCATATCATAACTTAAGAAACAGTATTTTAATCTTGCACATTATTAAAATATATAACCAACAGACACTGTGATAGTAAAATTTATGGAATCTTAAATTTTAAAAATCCCGACCACACAAATTAAAGTGAAAAGAAATGAAGTAAAATAAAAGCTAAATTAATTTGCAATATGTGGAGCATTTAACAGTTTTTCCTCCCTACCACCACACCTTTGACACTTTCTGTAGGGTTCATTTTATATTGATTCTATGCAACTGCAGTTTTATTTACAGGCGTAGCAAATAGCGCCGTACAGACCTGCATAGGTCACTGCCTCTGTGTGTTGCTTACAGCTCGCTATCTCACTGCACCATCGCTGGAGTTTCTGTAAAAGCCAGACCTCTTCCCCTTTGCCAGGAACTCATGCAAATTTCACTGACAGATGACATCTGAAATTACAGTGCTTGGGTACAGAACTCTGCAAACGCTACATCACAAACCAGAAAGACCACATGCAAAAGAAGAAAAAAAAAGAGCAACCCAGAAACCCCATCTAGCTGCGAACTTTCTCGTGGGGACATGGCAGCCCACAGGAGCAGAGACAGGTGCTCCTGTCTCCAGGCCCTGCACCAGCGTGCTTGTGAAGCTCCCAGACCACACAACGTCAACACTCGCTGCCCAGCTGCTCGCAGGCAGAGCTGTGGCTCGGCTAACTGGAGCACACACACCCTCTACGAGCGCTGGCGCGCGAGGCTTTGCAGGAAACGCTCTCAAGCAGCACGAACCTGTCTCTGCCAGGGCTGTTCACTGACAGCGAGGGTACAGCAGGGGCTTACACTCGTGCATCTCCTGGTTTGAAAAGCTCGGAATGAACACTAAGCTGACCTGGAGCCTTCCAGGTCTACGGAAGAAATTACAACCTAAACTGATCAAAAACCATCATCTTGTTACGAGTCTTTGTAAAGTGATAACCGAGGCAGGCCAATACCATTGGTCATCTTCCAATAACCATTCTCTACCCAAGACCTTTATGGCTCACTGAACTCATTACAAACACAGGTACAACATTCCAGATGTTTAAATTACTGCATATTGGGTTTCTTGCAAAGCCTGCAGGATCCAGAGCAATGAGGATCATTGTTCTACACACCCACTCATCTTGATGACCTTTCCCCCATCTTCTCCATAGCCTGCTACAGCCAGCTTGTTAAATATTTAATGGATAAATCAGCAGGATCAGTGTAACAATTAAGTGCTGGTTGTACAGAAGTACTGGAGCACAGTGGCCTAGAAAGGTTGCATGTTGAGCAGGCCTGCCCTGCACACCGCATATGAAACTGAAGAACACTTCAGGTGTGAGTTTTTAATGTGGCAAGAGTGGATGTGAGCTCAGAAGAGTCTGAGCTGTATCAAGAAGCCTCAGCAGGTTTCCATCACAGCTCATACACTGGAATTCACATCTGTCAAAAACGGCTTCCTGGTAAGTTCAACACTTTCTAGCAAGGTTCCTCTGTTCTCCATTTCAAACTGAACACAGGCCTAAGAAGCTTGCTTTTTAGTCCTGCTTAAAACATGCACATTCAAAAAACAAATTAATAAACAGATATAAATGCTAGTGTAGGAGTGCTACAGACTGCTTCAGATCAGAGGGTGAACAGTGCTTCCAAGTTTTGGATCGATGCAAACACTGACCATGAAATTAGCAATGGATGTCCCACTACTTTTAAACCAAATTAGACTAAAATCCTTTTAAAACCCTGTGCATAGAAACTGCTGCTAGATTAATGCTACACCATTGCAGCATCCCCACAAGTGAAGGCTACAATCACTTGTGTTCTAGCACTCAGGGAAATAAAAACACAAATGACCTAACAGACCAAGACTACAAGTGTTTCACATGGTTCACCTCGTACTCCTTGAAGCCAGCGAGTCTTGGGCAATGCAGACTTCCCGTTACCCAGTGTCAGATGCGCTCTCTTTTTCAAGTGAGCTGGCAATGTCCACAATCCGGATGCTGGGCTTTCATGCGACAGAGACGCTGCGACTGAGTCACCCATGAATGAGCCCCCAGGGGTAAAGAGGTTTCCACAAACCTTTAACTCCGCACATCTTTGTAAGGAACACCTTTCCTTTACAAATGATCCAGAGGAGGAGCTACTGTGCACTGCACCGCTAGAGAAGACATTAACCCAAACAAATGATAAAAACACTTATCTTTCTTCAAGCACCTACATATAGAAATGTCATCTGCCATTATTGTTCACCTATCTGGAGATGCGAATTAAATTAAAATGTTTCTGAATGAACGATCTTCTGAAATCTTGTTGAAAAGTACCAGACAGTAGTGATGAACATCAGTTATGAAAAGTAGATAAATGAGGCTTATTTAGAACTACTATGTCCTCAGCACTTTTTATGAATAAAAAATAAGTCTTCCTCGCTGTTAGGATTTGAACTTATGAAAGTAAAAATGTCCCAAAGTTACCAACATGTTCATGTAGTGTAGCAAGACCCTAAATAAAGAAAAATGATTTAATATATCTTTAAATAAAATCCTCCATTCATCACTGAAACACTATATCAACAGTGCTAAAAATACAAATACTAAGAAGGGGACTCCAAGCTGGTTGCACAACCCTCAGCAAAAAACCTCTTTCCATATGTCTAGACGCGAACATCTTGGAAAAACTTGCCATTTTCGTCCTTTTGTCTGATTACTTTGTCTGGAAAATGCACTTTTCTGAAAGGCAAGAACAGGACTAAGGCAGAGATCCACAATGAAGCATTCGGGGATGTAAATGACAATTAAGTTTGTATAAAGAGGAGTAATTGCTTACTGCTTTGCTCTAATTTATACAAACATAAAAACTGTCATGTCTTACAGGGAGTCATAAAATCTGACCTACTGAAAACACATTCCATGTAATCTTCTTAAAAACCTTAAGACAAGACTGCTCTCAGAAAAAACTCTTCGACTGCGTCTGCTTCTACTAGAAAATCAAGTGATTGTACAAAATGACTGATCAGTGTGAGAATTTCCCTAACTGGGTTATATAGAGTAGTCCCTCTAAGGAAAGAACAGGCACAAGAAAGGTGCAGCCCTGCTAACAGGTCAACTTTTAACTGATCCAAAGCAGGGCCGCGGGAGCCTGTCTCGGCAGGACATACCCTGGACAGCATGCCAGTTCCGTGACAGGACACACACACAAATAAACACACGTCCACCAGGTCCAATTTCCCTAGAACCCAACTGTCCCCCCAGTACATCTTTGGACCGTGGCAGTAAATCGGAGTGCCCGGAGGAAACCCAGGTGAACACAAGATCAGAACCAATCCCAAATCCGAGAGGCAGGCTCAGCGATGTGCCAGTGCTCGTGGCCCCACGCTGACAGCAACACTTGGCCCTTCTCCCCCCCCCCCCATAAAGGAATATAATGTGACCCGGGAAAGGTCAGAAGTATGAGATTTCAAAACAGCGCCAGGGCAGGAGACGGAGCAGAGGCAGCTCATTTGTTCCTAGGTGCCGGAATCGGGAGACGGCCAGTCCGAGCGCAGATGACATTTTCTGGAAATAGCACCGGAGCTCCGCCTCTCCTCCCAGGCGGACGCGCCAGCCAGGAGACCAGCGGTACAGTTACTCGTGGGTACCAGCCGGGGCAACCCGATACGTCCCCTGACACTGCCTCACGAAGAGGAACAAACACTCTGACAGCTCCAAGAACACAGTGCCACGTGAGCCGGGCTTCAGAGCTTTTGCAACATTAACATAATACTTAAAAAAATGTCTTCACTTCTGGCATCCATTACTTTGGGTAGCTTATGGTTATGGGCTGTATGGAATCATCTAAAAAAAACTGCATTCATCTTGGGCAGCTTCAGTCCCAGGTATGTTTCAACCGGTGTCCTGACCACATTTCCCCCTGGTCACAGTCACCTCATAACCCCCCTCTCTGAACTGGCTTCATCACTCTGTTCTCCGCCCCACTGGAAGCTGGTGTGTGGCGA